GAGTGTTCACAGAAACTCGATAATTGTACTCAAATGGTTAGACCCTATTTGGATGACATTAGATATATGTTTCCCACAAATCTGGAAGACGTGGATGTGATGTGTCGGTAAGAAAGAAACCACTTTCTAATTATACAATCTTTTGTTACCAATTTGCGTATACTTTGTACAATTTTATTCATATTTTTGTATAAAATTAGTCTAATTGTCAAAATAATATGTGAATGTTGTGTAATTAGTGCTATAAATAGAGTGATAATTAGTGTATTTGTATTTCGACGGCCAGAATGTGGAGTCAATTCGTAGACTGCGTTCGCAAATATGTTTCGCAATGTTTTAGTGAAGAGAGAAAATTATTATTTCACAAATCAGTGGAGAATTCTGTGGATACGGTTCACGCGATTTGCAGTTCACAACTCTATCAAAAAGGTTTGTAATCCTAGAGATTAGTGTATTTTTGGGACAAATATACCTTTTATACATGTAAACCTGGATATTACTGTACATAACGTTATTAATCATATTTATCATTGAATGGGAAGCAGAATATCTGTCAAATGCTGTCTGTTTTAAGCGAATCTCTATCGAGAGTTGCGGACAGTATTATAAGCAACTCATTGAACACGTCTCTAATCCCAGAGCACATGACGATCACATTTGTTGGTATGTCTTCATTGACACATTTGGATGACAAGTAAATTAATAACTTAATTGATTTTATAGCTCTTACGGACAGTTCAAAAACTGTGTAAACGATCCTCTCCTGCGAGAGTGTGGCCGAAGAGCCCGCGGACTTATGGATCACTCGATGGGATTTCTCATATCTCGCTGCTCTCAAAACAATCTCAATAGGTTTGCAACTAAATTGGTTTATAATGTGTTTAATGTGGAAATATTTGGCAATAGTTTGACAGAAAGGTGTCCGAACCCGATGTCCACATCCGGTCCATTGTCCACAACCACTACTGAGGAACCATTTGATGACCAAAACGATTTGGGGAACAGAGCACGAGCTGACCGTTCGTTTGACGAATTGGAGGCATCGGAAGCGTCCGAAGAGACGGAATCAAGCGTTGCATTTGAAACAACGACTCACACCTGGAATCCACGAACCGTTGTCTATACTCTGCCACCAGAGCCCGGAAGTCAGACCTCATCCG